ATTAAAGAAATTCACGGCGAAAAATATTACCTCAGCCAGGGTTTGAACCTGGACCCTCCCTACACTCTCGGCGGGCGTCTCGCCAATTCGACTTGTTGACCAGCGACAAATGAAATTGTTCGTAAAAATTTCTTATACATAGAGGCCGTCTCTTATACAATTTAAATATGCCAAGCTAAATATATTGTTTTAACCAACAATTTCATTTGTGTTTATATCGACTTTTATGGCCTTGATTCACCTATTAATTTTATTTCACCGCGTTTCAACTTATCTTTTTAGATTCTTTGTAATGTCCCAGCAAGACCAAACAACACTGACCAAAAATGCCTATGTAACGCCCGAGATCTGTGCGCCACAACGCCCTCGGCGGTTTACCCCTCGTTTAAAACGAATCAACGCGACGTGTCTTAGAATGTCGTTATATTAGACGTTAGCCGGCGACGATTCCTTGACACCCGAGTCTTGATAAGAACAAAAAAGAGATATCGGCTTGAGAAATTATCAATATCTCCCCCCTCGGAGACTGCTGTCCGACTCTCGTGACGTGGCCGCAGTAAATGTATCAGCCATCGCGAAGTCATTAATAAAATCAACTGGGTAAATTAAACCCCCCGTACGTGCGCGATACTCGATATTAAACGTCGGCGTTACTCGAGGACCCTTCGGCCCAGCATCAGTCGTACTAAATCCCGACTTCGCAACGTAACGCGCCGGCCAGCGTAACATATTTTTCGACAGCATGATCGCTGGCTGTTCGATTAATATCCCGACGGCCGAGCGCGAGGGGGCGGGGGAGAGCCGGAGGTGGAAATTTTCGGGGTCCGAAAAACCCGCGAGGGCGAACGCGCGCGCGCGCGCGTGCACCCACGCACGTGCGTGCGCGCTTGTGCGTGAGGTTTCCCCACTCGCGGCGGCGGGCCACACCGCCGGGGTGTGTGGGTGTAGGTGCGTGCTATCGACCGGGTATCCTCCGTGCCGCTGGACGGACGGCGGCGTGCCCCACCCTGAAGAGAGTAGGGAGCTCGGGTGCGAGCGAGCGAGAGGGACGCACGCGTGGCGGCCGCGCGGGAGACGGAGACAACCAGCTGAGGGCTAGAGCGAGGGAAAAAGAAAGAGAGAGAGAGAGAGAGACCACGGCACGCAGAATGCCGCCTCCTGCTTAGTGATAGCGTAGAGACTGTAGTGTTCACATCACACCACACACCTAACCAAAATTCTCGTTCACTGTTAGGGAAAGTTTGATATATATATATATATATATTATACATATATATATCCGCACAAATTAGTCTGTTAGTTTCTCATACACTACATCACCGATCGACACACGCACGTCCGCACACAACCTACACGTGTATATACAGATATATATATTTATATGTATATTTTATATTCGCGTCGCGTGACAAGTTGAAGGGTGCGTCCGGCCGAAGATCGGAGAGAGAAAAGGGCACGGGGAAACGTGACTGATCCTCGAGGAGGAATCCCCGAAGAGGTGCTGGTGCTTCCGTTTCCGTTTCGTCTCGTCGCGTCGCGTTTTCGACACCCGGCGTTTGCCTCCCCCTAACCCCTCTCGCTGCTCGGACACGGCGCGAACGAGACGAGGGGGGCCTTTCAACCCCCCCCCCCCCCCGCGGCGACCGCGAGGTCTTCCTCGTGACGGCTTCGCCACCGACAGAGCTCGGCGAGCGTCTCCGTCGGCGCGTCGTCGTTTCGCGGAACTCGAGTGAGATCAGCCGAGCGGAAGCGATCTTTCCTTTCGCCCCGCGAACACCGTGAATCTATGATAAAATTCCCCCCCTCTCGCCGAGTCCGTCTAGCCCGTCGGGGGCGACATTAGCGGCGGACCTGTTAGAGCTATTAGAGTGCGTGCGACTCGACGCGACGGCCGGCTCTCGGAGCGGTGGAAGTGGTGGTCTCTCGTCACGTCCGAAGTGTGTAATTACGCGCATTATACCATCTTCGAATTAAAGCGGGACGAGGCCCCCGCTCGATTGGACGAAATTGCGAGCCTGACCCCCCGCCTCTTTTTTTTTTAATAACAAACCGCGAGCCGAGAGTCTCCCTGATCCCTTTCGCGTATTCTGTGACCGGCGGTTCTCGTCACTTGCTGATTGCTCGACTGTCCCCATCCAGCGATCGCATTTCCTTAAAGCCATCAAATTTCCCGGAAGCGACTTGAAAGACCGACAACGACTTCCTCGGGTATCGAAACGATGCTCTTTCAGGATGCTTTTTTGGCTGTTTAAGCTGATCAAACTTAGTTAATCTGAAAGGTGCCTCGCCTCTAAACACGAGTTGGCTGATAAGAAGAGAGAGAGAGAAAAAAAAAGTACGTTTTCTCACGAAGAATACCGTGCGCGAACGTTTCTTCCTCTCGTTTCATCTCACGAAGCTACACCTAGATACCCTTGGCTTAAAAGAATCATCCCCTCTCTAGAGCCACCGTGGAAAATCGCGCTCGGGCCCGGGAAGTACAGCCGGCGTGTCGATGCGCGGCGAGCGCGTAGCGAGCGAGCGAGCGCGCCGTAACGCGACGCGAATTAACGCGAGAGCTAACGGGAGCACCATCACCTCCGTGCATCAGATAGATCGCTCTGCTCGGAGAAGAGAGACACGCGGGAGCCGGAAAGACGGCGGCGTCCAGCGACAGCAGCAGCAGCCGGAAGGGCAGTAGAAGAGAGAAAGAGAGAGAGAGAAGGGTGGAGGAAACGCACGGGCAGTAAATACGAGAGAAAGGTCTGTCGGTCGCGACCTTTGACCCACCGCGACCTACCGCGAGCTACCACGAGCCCGGGCCGAGGGCAACTCGTCAGGATTCATCATCAGGATCTTCGGTTCCACGGCCGCGGGGGAGAAGGAAGTGCCGGCGCGACCGGGGGGTAGCAACGGGGGAAGACGGACGGGAAGGTCGCTTCCCGCGAGAAGGAGTCGTCGCGACGACGATTCCTCGGGGTCCGCACCCGCGTGGGCTCTCCTCTCTCTCTCTCTTTCTTCCCCGCCTCGCCCCGTACGCCGGAAGCGCGCGCTTTACCTAACGCCGGCCCGCCCGAGCGTCGCGCGTGCCGCCGCAAGCTCCAGGACACGCGGGAGAGACGCTGATCTCGCGCGCGTTTCAAGGCCGGCTCGGGCGATCGGCGAGAGAGACCCTCCTCGATCCTCTCGCGCGATCCCGCCGCCTCCCCTTCTCTCTCCGCCCGTTTCCGTCTCTCGCTCGTCAGGAGCGTCGTCGCAGCGACATGGGCGGATGTACCTCGAAGGATACCACGTCGGGCGACGAGTACGTATCCGTGGGAAGGTCCTCAGCGGGATGAGAAAGCGTGTGTCTCTTTCTCTCTCTTTCCCATCTGCCCTCTTCCCTGTCTCCCCCCCCCCCCGCCTGTCGTACCGTCATTCCCGTTCCTCCCGATTCCTTTTTTTTTGTTATCGCTCAGTTTTCTGGGTACACTTTGCTTTATTCTGTACTCGAACTGCGACCTGTGTGATGTCTGTTAAAGTGGGATACTTGAAATTGTACGTAACGATGTGTACTCTGGGTGTGTGCCATTGATTGTTAATGTATTCATGGGGATTTAATGTATGTATAACGAGCTCGAGAGGGATTTCGGCAGTTCTCGTGCGGGAGAAATTCAAGCCTCGACGAGGGGCGCCGAATGGCCGAACGTGGCGCCGATATCAGCGGCTAAACTTTCTCGGCTCTCGCTGCATTTTTTTTTTCATCTTCTCTTAAAAATTGTGTCTAACAAACTTGCCAGGCTGGTCTCTCGGGTTTATGACGTCCCCGGATTTTCGCGCGACGGTTTAACGCGACGTCAATGCCCGCCCCGCATGTGTTACGCGTAAGAGGATCTCGCATGAGCTAGACTCGTCTCGTCTCCTCGCATTCTCGAAGCGACGATCGGCGCATAATCGGTATCCCGATGGGCGGCGTATGCTCGTCACTGGGTATATGCGAATCGGCCGACGACCAACAAACCGTTCAACAAACCGCCCAACAAACCGTCCAACAAACCGAGAACGTCGACAACGACGACAATGACGACGACGTCGCGTACGTATGCTCATTCGGCCTTCGACCCTGGGATGCACTCCGCGACCTGCGGTCCCATTCCTCACGCGCGGACTCGAATGGGCCAAGATTTGCGGCAATTTGCCCGCCTGTGTTTCTCGTTGGAAACATAGAAGAGCTTCCTTCGGGGAAAAAAGGAAATTCACTTTCAAAAATGAGAACTTTTGTTTTAAGTTAAAACAAGATAATGTACGTATCGCGCTGGCAAGGATTCAATTTTCTTGAAACGAAGAAAATTGAATTTAGATTCACTCCTGTTTCCTCTTCGTGAAAGTTTAAAGCTTGACCAGTGCATCCTGGAGGTACAAGTGCACTATGCACCAACAATGAGGGCACACGTGCTGCACCGAAGGAATTTAAAAAGCGTACGCCAAGTATAGATGTCAAGTGTACACGGGGAAATTGTGTAGAAAATGTACGTGCCGTGTAAGAACAATGTCGCGTCGCGAAAAGAATCAAGTCAGCAGATACATCACGGCCGGATGATTCTGGTCAGCATTGTTATGACCCGATATAATCGGACCAGCACCACTAGGTATTCAGAGCGAAACGTCACAGATGTGTACTTTGCACCCGCAATTAAACAACATTGCATATGAATGCAACTGACTCTATTCGCAGCATCCATTCTTAATCTTCTCGATGTTCTGCACACTGCAACGAGACCACGATGAGCAAGGCGTGGTGATATCAATTGAAGGGTTAATTTTTTTAATTAAGGGAATTGATCCCTGATATTAATGTTAAATTGAGAAAATCGAGTACGAATTATTTTGATCAGATTCTTGAGGAGGTAAAATTAAACGGACTATCACAAGCGGAATTGGGCCCTTCAATTGAGTCGCAAGATCTTTTTGTTTTCGATTATTCCTGTTAGTGTCACGATGAAGAAGCTTCTTTGACGTAATCTTCCAACATTTTGTTGCAGTAAAAAGGGTAACAACATGGTGGACGCAGCGGTACTGGACAAGCTGGAGTCCGGCTTTGCGAAGCTGGCCGAATCCGACAGTAAATCGCTGCTGAAAAAATACCTGACCAAGGAGGTCTTCGATCAACTCAAGACCAGAAAGACCTCGTTCGGGTCTACTCTCCTGGACGTCATTCAATCCGGTCTGGAGAACCATGATTCCGGCGTTGGTATCTACGCGCCCGACGCCGAGGCGTACACCGTCTTCGCCGAGCTTTTCGATCCCATCATCGACGACTACCACGGCGGCTTCAAGAAGACCGATAAGCACCCGCCCAAGGACTTCGGTGACGTCGACTACTTTGCCAATCTCGACCCCACCGTAAGTTCTTCCTAGAAATTTTACTTGTAGATACTTGTAGGGTTACAAGGCGTTTTTGAAGGAACGTGCCCAAACCTCTTATAACACCTCTCTCTATATCCACTTCTCTATGTGGCGATTGAATGAAAAACCAACAATGTTTTGTTTGGTTTTGAATCCAGGTCTTCGGATTACCAGACCAGCGCACAATCCTCTGCGCCACGATTGCTACCCCTAGAAATTTTACTTATGTCGCTACAAGCTTCTATATATAAAAATATAACATTGATACGATTAAATCTTATAGTATAGTGGTTATCAAGTTGTATAATAATTATGTAAATAGATAATTATTATAAAATCGTGACATTTTCTTCTTGTTATACAGGGTGAATACATCGTGTCGACTCGCGTGCGATGCGGCCGCTCCTTGGACGGATATCCGTTCAACCCGTGTCTGACGGAGGCGCAATACAAAGAGATGGAAGAGAAGGTGTCCAGCACGTTGTCGGGCCTCGCCGGTGAACTGAAGGGTACTTTCTACCCGCTCACCGGCATGAGCAAGGAAGTGCAGCAGAAGCTGATCGACGATCACTTCCTCTTCAAGGAGGGCGACCGTTTCCTTCAGGCAGCGAACGCCTGCCGTTTTTGGCCCACCGGACGTGGCATCTTCCACAACGACGACAAGACCTTCCTGGTCTGGTGTAACGAGGAGGATCATCTTCGTATCATCTCTATGCAGATGGGTGGCGATCTCGGACAGGTAATTATATAGACACGATAATATAATATCTAGATCAAAACAGATTTTTTTATCCTGATTGTATATGAATGAATACTTTAGTCAGTTATACTTGCATAACTTTCGATTACGTGTCCATTTAATAACCGGAAGTGTCTATAAATCAAGCATGGCCAACCTACTGTTTGTAGAGCAGTTTCATCCAGCTCGCGCATTTTGAAAAATAAAGATCGATGAAACTAATTTTATTAATATTTAAATTTAATATTAAAAATAGCTTTGGCATTTCTTATTAAAAGAAAAATTGGAAAATTTTAATATTTTAAAAATTGCTTCGGTCCGCGAAAAGTTTGAACGTTTCGAATGCGGTCCACGAAACGGAAAAGGTTGGCCATGCCTGGTCTAAAAGAACTTCCACTAACATAAAAATCTGTAAAATAATGTTTTCAATTCTGTCGTAATATTCTAGGAATTTTATTAGACTATTTTATATTGCTCGAGCATGTTCATATTGATATGACATAATCATTGTTAAAAGGCTTCTAACTTCATCGTCGAGTTTAATTTAGCAATACGATATTCTGACGTATGACGAAATATTAATTGATTTATGTTCTCCAGGTATATCGGCGCTTGGTGACGGCGGTGAACGAGATCGAGAAGCGGCTGCCGTTCTCGCACAACGATCGCTTCGGCTTCCTGACGTTCTGCCCGACGAATCTGGGTACGACGGTGCGTGCCTCGGTGCATATCAAAGTGCCGAAACTCGCGGCGAACATGGCCAAGCTCGAGGAGGTCGCGGCCAAGTACAATCTACAGGTGCGTGGCACCCGCGGCGAGCACACCGAGGCCGAGGGCGGCATCTACGATATCTCCAACAAGCGCCGTCTCGGTCTGACCGAATACCAGGCTGTGAAGGAGATGAACGACGGCATTGCTGAGCTCATCAAACTCGAAGCAAGCATGTAAAGCAGCCCCCTCTCCCCCGCCCCCCCTGACACACCTCGTATTCGTTTACTCTCCATCGTAGCCTCGTCGGACGCCACTGTATTACGTGACGTCACGCTGGAAGCTGTGTCCATCGGCGTGAGGATTTTATTCTGAGAATAAATCGCAAGAGCATGATTTTGGAGAATCGTTCAACGATGATCCAACGCCGGCGGCATGGAGCTTTTCAGCCACTTTCGCGTTACCCATCTTTATATATATATATATACAAAATATATATATAAATATAAATATCGTAATTTGCGCTGTCTAGTATGATGTAAGCTGTTCTCGTACTCGCGCCTCTTTTTGTAGCTTTCCTTTTTTTTTCCTTAATCAGAAATTTCGGCAATATACACAAGAATAACTGTGATTATGATAAATCGTATGACTTGTCAACTTTTATTAATATCTATTAATCTTTTTATGTCGCGTCACGACATCTATTACTCTTTTGTTATCAATCGGAAACATGAACTTAACGAGGTGAGACGAAACAGTACGCAGTAAAAAGAAGACTTTACGGAGAACAGCTCGCATCGCACTCCGCACGCTGTATTCGACAGTATTTTAGTTTCGTTCACTTGTTCCTTTTTTTTTTTCGTTTTTAGTATGTAATTTCGAATGATCGGGAAATGGTCTCGAGGCAACGCACTCGCGATTATCTCGTTTCTAATATTTTTTTCCTTTTGTCGCAAGCGCATTCGTTATTGATACATAGTCACGCGCGTTGACACACTTAGTAGTGCTCTAGTACTAGTCCCCTGCAATTCGTCGCGATTGTCGTTATTAAACAAGATAATGAAGGAAAAGAGTGGGAAGACGTCGCTGTTTTAAGAGATATTTGTTCGACGACTACGACGACGACGGTGGTTTTTAAATTGTCCGTGTTCTTGAGATCGTCACGAAGCATCAAAGGTCGCGGGGCCTGTTCTCAGTGCGCCGCGGTCCTCTAGTCTGCGGATGGCGGAGAGCGACATTCATGTTTTTTCATTCTCTTTTTTACCACGTGAGAGGCCGGGAAGGAACATCTGCGCGACGGGATATTAACACGCACTACAAAACACACGCGAGCAAGCGTTGCGGCATATTATAGAGACAGTGTACTACCAGCAGATTCGACAAGATGTACGGTGAGAATACAAGTAATGAAACACGAAAATAAAAAGACATACACATTATGTATTTTGTTGCGTGTTTTATTCTCCCACTTTACTCGGCATTTTTTATTTCTGATACTCTGCTAAAACCTTGAGAGCGTTTTGTATTGCCTAATTTTTCGAACCGTTTGTATCTTTGTCACGTACTGTTAAACTTTTAAGTTACTGTTTATTTTTTATACTTTTATCTCATAATAGGGGATCCATTAAACAAATTACGTGGTAAAATATATCTTGAATTTATGAATCTATGATATTGAGGAATATAGGATGATGACTTTGATTATATAGTTATTTAAAACTGTCGTATTTTTCATTAAAAAAAGATCAAGTTTTTAAGATCTTGTGTTAACCAATGGTACATCTGTCATTAATTAATAAATTAACAATAGAAGGCGCTTGTGTCAGAAACTTTAAAGAATAGACGTAATGAACATGAATTGTAATGAATTTTAACATAATTAGTAAATATATAAAAGATATGTATTATAAATATGATCATGGGGATATTTATGCTCTCTCTAAGAATCATGTTTTAATATTTAAAAATACGTATACAAGAAAATTAATAAATTTAATTTTATTAATGTATTTTAGTCTGTAAAACGCAAGGTGCTTGTTGCGTGAGTAACAAAATATCTGTATAAAGCTTGAGATTACAACGATGCAAAAATTGTATATTACCTAATACAATTGCCAATGTTTTTTTTCTTATGCTCTTAATCTACATATATAATTTTTACATCACGAATAAAGTAATGATGTAAAGATAATATTTTGTAATTAATGAAAATTCCGAAATTATTTGCACAAGCTATATTCATTGAACAGGATCAAGATGCTATGTAAAATAATACAATTTTCTTCTATTTGTGTATGTGTATGAAGAAAATAACTTCTTGTTATATCATACGATATTTGGGAGACGATCTAGGAAGATAGACGCATTGCAAATCGATGAATAACGATTTAGATAGATATAAAGAAAATTGCACTATGTTGATAATAAAATAGAGAGCTCTTTGAAATCAAACTCTACAATGGATACGAGTTCGATTACATCTCCGCGAATGTAAGCTCAACTGTAAGTATACTTAAATACAGCTTAGTTATGTATAAAAGTAATAAAGATTATTCGTAAAACGATTAAAAAATGGGAGAATCGTCTAATGTATAATTGTAGTTATAATCTCACAGTGTTCATGATGAATAAAATTCTACCCCGAGTATATGTACACAGCTCTCACTCTTATTTATGCATTCCATAGTTAAACATCTTTCGAGATATTTAACACATAACAAAATATCTTTGCTAGAGATAAAGTTAACATGAACGATTCGTTTTGGTCTTCTTTTAAAATTGAAACACTTAGGGCTCCTGCTCGAAATACATGAAATCCTAAAACATTAAAAGGTACAAAGTCAACGTACTGTTTATTAAAAAAATGAATCTGTTCATAGGAAATATAACGTTTAGAAATTTCTTTTCGCAATTTAACTTGTTAAACAGAACCAATCAATCGACTATGCTGATATTAATATTAAAAATGAAATATTCCTCCTTTTTTGGTTTCTTTCTATTTCGTATCTGGTTTCTTAAATAAGCGATTGTAGTTTTTTCACAATACTCACTATTAGAATAGCCGCTCCCAGCAGCACGGCCTTTATCTTCACATCCAGATCCCGCGGAAAGTTAATGCCGAAATTATCCGAAACGGTAAACATCTCTTGACCAAAGCCACTCCAATGCTTTCGGATCGTGCCAATGCGATGCTTCCCATCTAGCGATCTGACCTGCGGATTTGATAATTTACAATGCTGAGAATTCTTACGCTTTTTACGTAATAAAATTGTAGTGCAAACAATCGCCAAGTTTGTATGTTTGAATTTTATATGTTATAATACCTTAAAAATTACGTCAACACAAAACCGAAAAAGTGGCCCTTTTATCATCAACACTGGCTGGCCAGATGCATCGCGAACATAAAACTTTGGTCGCCAAATACTCCACTCTTGAGTAACGCTGCCCAATAGAGTACTTCCAGAATACACTTCTAAAACCTACAAAGAAAAATTTTCTGTCATCAGCTAATCAAGTCTGGTTACAATTAAACTTAACAAATGTTATCAATATTGCTTCCTTATAGAGGAAGCTTTGTTTTTAATTTGTTCTCAAACACATAAGTAAAGATTTACTCCAGTCCCATTTTATCCTGGGATTTTTATAAAATTAATTCAAATTGTAAGACAAATTTGTACACAATTACTTACATAACAATTACACGTTTAATTCTTACTGCGTTTTGTATTATTTTCGACATGTATAATAAATAAACGAATAAATAATTTCCCAAAATAAATGCCAAGTAGGAAATGGACATTGTCATTTTTGTTTAAATCATATTGATTGGATCTTTCAACGAAGAGGTCCAAGTTTCGTCGAACTATAAACTTTACAGATGGCTTGCACGTGAAGAAACTTTGGTAGACAAGACAGCACTTCGCTTCTAGATTTCGCTTTTAGATTTATTTTCAATATCATCTTGCTTATTCTTGTAATTAAAAATACATTTAAAAAGAAATTATCTATATGTTTTAAATTCAATTACTAGGATATTTAATAAAATATTCATTGTATTGTGAATAATAACAACTCAGTAAAAAGAGAAAAACTTACTTAAAATTATTAAAAAAATTTTTCTTACTTTAGAATTTTTAATTTATTCAGAATTTATTGGGTGCTGAGTTTAAATATTACGCTGCAAATTAAATTAATAATTTTTATTTTTAATTTGAATTCTAAAATATATTAACTGTTCTAAAACTTACTTATCACGAACGTAGTGTTGTTGATTTTTCTATTTAAAGAGGAAATTTAGAATTAAATTTATCGAAGAGAGAGCGAGATAACCGTAACAAATACACTGAGGAAACTCTAATGATAAAACTACCTGCAGGTAGCAAGGACAGCAGCAACTGTCGCATCTGAAGGGTCGAACCATACGAAGAATTTCTTGCCGGTTTCTGTCGTAGATGGTGAATTCGCACGAACGATACTTTCCCAGGCACAATCGCCAACAGACTCCCGATTCCTCGGCCATGTAGAACACCGTCTCGCCCCTATTATCCGTAATAACATACTTGTTCTTAGTTTCCCATCCAGTAAAAGCTAAAAAAAGGTAACGTAATTTTAAAGCAAAATGCATGTACACATAATGATACTTAATAGAGCAAAGTACAAACATGCAATGTAATAAATAAATAAAATTAAAGATAAATAAGATAAGATACATAGGATCACATCGTACAAGTGATAAGGAAATTATTAGGGACTCCATGGCGCAATTATCAGATTGTAATTCTGTGAATACTTGTCGTGATGTAAAATAGAAAATGCAATTATATATTATATAATAAGACAATAATTTCATATTAATTATAATAATATTGTAATTAAACGGCTGCGTGCACAAAATGATTGTGTTTATCGTAATACAAATATAACGAGGAAGCTATCGCGCGGAGTAAACGTGGCACGGGGAGTAATCGTAAATCACACACTCGAGCTCCGTGGATCTGGAACACATATATACGCGCGCACTCTCTCTTTCTCTCTCTCTCAAGAAGACCGTAGTGTTATATTTATATCTCCTGGCAAAGTCGTGTGCTCACCTTGAAGCAACTCAATTTTCTGGTTCACGAAAAGATAATCAAGGTGCATAAGGTATTCCAAGCCGGGTGGATATATCGTACTCGGCGGCGACCAACCACCTGAAAACATTCGAGAGTAACATTCGATAAGTGATGATAATTCTCGACACGCTATGTATCGCTCATGTAAATAGTAGGTACACATTGTAAATGTGAGCAGACATTTCTTAATATCTATACTCGTATATAAACATGAGCGGAATGATTTATCCGGTCCTGACGAGGAATAATCAGTTAAGAAAGAAAAATAGATGAGTTTACGAAATCGTTAAATACATTTACGCGCTTATCGTCTTTATTATATCAAAATATATCAATGTAAACGGTGCACGCATTATATATAGTTTTTATGATGTTATAAATCATATCGATCTCTTTTAATCACGCACATAAATTCCACTCTTAAAGAATAATCAAGTTAAACTTCGCTTTCCTTTTAGAGAACGCAGTCGACATTTTTGACACAAATCGACACACGTCGCTTTCCAATTAGAATCTAGTTCAATCGACACTTTTCGACTCTGCTCGGCAGGAGAGTCGGAGTGTGTTTTTGAACCGAAGAACGCATCCGCTCCGAGCTAGCATTTCGATAGAATCCGTTTTCCACAGGACCTTTTCTTAAAATCTTGTTCTTTAAATCTCTGCCATTTCACAGTGGCAAACTTGTGTGTCGATCTGCGTCTCCTAAAAGGAAAGCAGCCTTTGTTGATCACAGCATTGTATGACATATACAGAACGCTTCGTGACAGGGGCGCGAATCGCGAAACACGCGTTCGCGAAAAGTGTTCTGCACCTCTGTTCCTCCTCCGTGAGAAATCTGGCGTAGCCCTTCCTCTTGGACTTGTAATAACGCGCCAACGTGCCGCGGAAGAGTGTTCGCAGCCGCCTGCGAATCTGCTCCAGCTTGATCTTCCACGAGGTCTCGAAATACTCGGATTCCGTTGCACGCTCAGAACGCCGCATGTTTCGAATATTATTTGTGGATCGCGCTTTTATAACGCAGCACACGCATTCACGTCGACCGTCTGGGGCTGAAATTCACAAGTGTCCCCCTTTATCGCTACAGGAATTAAACTCTCATTTCCACTATCGCGCCGCGATTATCATCACAATCTTTGGGATATTTACAGACGTTATGCAATCAAAGATTAAAGACTGACAATTATCCGAACCGAGAGAATGAGCGCTTAAAATTCACTCTTCCGATCCAAGTATCTGCGAAAACTTTCGCCCGTTCGAGATGCTTGCCGCTTGTCGACCTTCTGAAAACTTTCGCCGCTGCTTCGAAGACTAAACTTCCAAGTTCATCCTTCGAATTCGGCTCACGCAGCTTTTCGAAATTCTTATCACTCTTATCCATCGCCCATTGTTAATCTCACGAAAATAACTGTTGCGCCGACCCGAGACGTTTGCCAGCAGCCGTTCGCGAGTTATCGCAATTACTTTGCTGCGTTCTCCACCCTTCTCGAGACGCAGGAGATAAAACTTTTTCCGCGAGTATCCTCGTTTCTCCCGGCGCGGACTTTTCTCCCTTTTTTTTTGCATTTATCGTTCGACAGATAAATATGAAAAACAATCCGGTATATCGAAGCCACGACGTCGCATCTACTGTCTTGTTTTCCACGCCGGGAAAGTTAATATTGTCCAAAACATTGACACCGCGAAAAACACCTCACGATCCGCTGCTAATATGTCCTCGATTGTTGTTGCAACTCTTCGAGAGATGTAGGTATCCGAAAATGTTTCAAGTCGGGGATTTCGTTACACATCAGAAGAATTTTGACCATTCAATCATTTCTGTAAGATTCATTTACGCTCCACTCTTTGAACACTTCTCATTTATCTTCAGTCCAAAAAATTGACACCGCGAAAAACAACTCACAATCCGCTGTTAATGTCTCCTCGATCGTTGCTGCAATTCTTCGAGAGAATTATCCATCAAAAATGCTTCGAATCTGGAATCCGGTTCATTCAACATTAGAAGAATTTCAACGATTCTATCTGTCGATCATTTCTGTAGATTCAGTGTATCTCACTTTCCCGTTTCGTTTATATTCCTCTCTACAAATTTCTCAGTCTTATCTTCCGTTTTATTTTATTTACACACCACATTTCTGGATTCAATTTCAAGCTCCTTCCTCTGCTTGCCGTTTCTTTTATTTTCTCCACTCACCCTTCTCGCCTTATCACGACTAGCTAGGTGAAAGGTAAACAATACACTGGTAGACTCGAGTGATCGCGCCGTGCCGTCGTTGCTTATCGGGATGTTTCGCGATTCAAATACACGGCGGATTAATCTCTTTATCTCGCATCTGGGGGAGCAACAAGACGGGACGAATGGGGACGCGAGGTGCGCGCGAAGCACCGAAAAGTCCGGCGTCATCGTACAAATACGAATGATAACGTATACAGCCGTCTGGCTGACGACGATACGCGACGGCCGCCGAAGGCGATCATTATCTACTTTATACTAATCGCCGCTCCCGGACAAACGGTGGCCAACCATCACCGGGACGTAACCGTCCGTGAATCGTCCTTCTGCATAGATTGCGCGATGGAGACGCGATAGGATAACACAAGTGAGCTCGAATTTCTCGTGGCGAGCCGCAGTTACGCGCGACCGAAACTTGGATTATGATCGTTGATGTGGGAGGATCACGAATGTCCCCCGACCCGTGCCTGTCGTAATTAAGCGGCGCACGATCATGAAACGGACGCGATCCGTGCCAATGTCGCGTTTAGGCCAACGTTATACGATCGTCAATTAAAACTGACAATTGTGATTTGATTCTAATTATACGCGGGACTCTCTATCTCTCTTTTTCTAATTTAATATTGTGCGCTGGTCGCGCTTCTCGCGGCGAGAAAGAAAGACGATATGTTCGAAAGCGCGAGCAAAAGTGTTCGCATATCGGAAACTTGCGATAGACACGGCGTTATCTAGCTTCCATTTCTCTTATAATAGCAGAGAAAATTGCCCGACGATGACGCGGACTTTTAGACCGACGCCAATCGCGACGGATAACTAATGTCCCCCGATTAATTTCCACGGATCTAACGTGACTTCATCTACATGCCAGCTGATTAGCGATCTGAAAGGGGCGCCGGGAAATGCTAATCCCGTTGAGCGAACCTCGCGAATGCGGCTGCACCGAGGAATTGCTCCGGGTCAACTAAGTTTTCCTCTTCTGCAAGATTCGAGGCGACGAGAAAGGAGCAGAGAAACGTGGTAATCAGGCCGAATTAACCGCCGTCCTCGTGGTTGACCCTAAACATTAGCGCGAGTTAACTGGATTTTTATCCTCTCGCTCGCACTCTAGGTACGAACGTAGACATAGTAAGAATAGACTGCGCGTTCCCTACCCGTGTGAAAACATGTACATACTTTAGAACGAGATAGCTGGTGTTGAACAGTATAGAGAACCTATAATCAGAGAATGGCCATAAGAGTTCGTCAAATCCCCGCGGGTGAGAGAGAAACATAGGCTATCTTACACTTCTATACGATCGTAGAATTTGACGAACTCTTATGGCCAGTCTCTGATTACAGGGCGATGTGACATCTAAATGTAATATGACATCACACTGGTTCAAGAAATTAGGGAAAAACAATAAAGAAATCAGGAACATGGAGCGATGAATTAGATACGATAAAAGGGAATAGTATAAGGAGGCTACGGATGGAAAGAGAAAGCAGGTTACGAAGTTTAAAGAGAGAACAAGGAGAGAAAGAAGAGGAGAAAGAGGAAGAAATGTAAATAATATAAGTTCAATATAAAACTAATAAAGTATAAATAAGGAATATAAAATCCGTACAAGTGTAAGTACAAATAGGCTAAAAGTTTAACATAGAAAAAGCTAAGCTTAGAATTGTTACATTTAGGTTTCGAATACAAGTAAACTAAGTAAGTAAATAAAGTAATTAGAAATACTAGTCACAACATGCAAGGATGAAAATAGGGAGGATGGAAATAAGTATGCAAGAATAAATGAGTTAAGAACATATCGTAAACCAAGTCCACTCCAGATATTGATAGACGGAGGGTACTGTTCAAACTATGTTGTCGCTTTCTAAAGTTTGTACACTTCTGCAGCCAAAAGGCGCAGTCTACATATTATACGTCTATGAGTACGACGAAGAACCTAGTCTAGCCGGGAATCCGATTAAAGCTGACAATGAGACACGCGCGTAGGTGAAGCTCCATTGTTGCGAAAGCACGGCAGAAACGCATCTTGAAGTCCTCTTCGAATCGGTTGCGTTCACTTTAATATCCGCGAAATAAGGAAATCTCGGAGCGACGTTCGCTCCAAAAATTTCGATCAAAAGATCGTCCCTGAGAGATTAAGAATTTCCGCAGAGATTCTCGCTATCGCGCGAGCGACACGTGTTTCGCGATTGCGGGCTTCATACGTCGAAGACGATATGAGGATCTCTCGATTATCTTAGCACTTATTTAGACTCGAGATTCTCGAGGAATAACGTCAGTTCTTTTACCTGGCGGCGGAGCCAGCGCGTTCGGCTGCGGCGGGGCTGTTGCCATCGGAGGTGAGTGCATTCCTACCCCCGACAGCGGGGGATAAGGTGCGTGATACTTTTGGTTGTTCATTCTTCTACTTCCGGCTCACCCTCGTCCCTCCTGTGAACAAAGCAGACGTGACCGGGTCATCAATCGACGGGTTCGCAATGGATTGTACAATCCATTGTTTCGTACGTACGAAACTGTCTCGAAAATAGGGGAAAAGGAAGGAAAGTGACGCCCAAAAACGAGCGAAAGGCGCGTTCTGACAAAAGTAAGAATATGAAAGATAGTAACAAAATTAATAAAATAGTAAAAAAATGATTCCATTTTTGTTTCAGATCCTTTTTAACTTGAGAACTGTAGAACAAAAATGTAGCTATTAATAAAATAAACCATTACAACTGCATTGATTAAACAATCGACGCGTTTAATCGCAAGTTAAAACTTGCAATAAATAAGAGAAAAGAATCAGTCTGATGTTGGAGATGTAGAAATCCAGAAAATTTATGTTCAGGTTCCAGACTGATTCGGCGATTATATTTACCGCGAACATTAAAGAAGGTTAAATTTTGCGCCGTATAAACGAGAACAGCATCGGCCGCGTTCAGCGGCAAAAGTTGCTGTGCAACAGTTGTAAAATTCGTAAATTTGATTGAAGTACGCTCTCGGATTCTACCACAATTCAAACTTAAAACGGGAAACTTTTATAGTCGATATAGATATTATAGTTTCGACCCTATTTTTTGGGTCCTTATCAAGTGATATATAAACGTTGTACTAAACAAATAAAGGAATATACCAGTCAGGTCGACTAAAAGTTTCCCGTTTTAATTTTTAATCATCACTGGTGACTATAAGCAAACTCTCTCTCTTCACAATTAAAAGTATACGCCAATTAGATTCGAGGTTTTCACAACAGCTGCGAAGCAGTTGTTTCCGCTGAACGCGGGCATTGAAAGGAGCGCGCGTCTCTCCTACCGACGGAGAGTACCCGAGGAGGAAGCATTAGTTCTGGAACGAGTCGGCCGATGACGGAAGCTGCTATGCCCGCGCGCTTTGATATCAGCTCGCGTATGATACTGTTTATGTTGAAATTGTTGGGTCATCGTCCCTCGCGTATCGCCGCTCGCGGTATTCGCGTCGTAAAGGTCATTGTAACGCGTGTACGCACGTAATTCGCGTGCATGTGCACGGTATGTATGAGAAACGAGAAGAAAGACCTGGCCGTCGCCGATAACGCCTTCCCTTCATTGATAAACTATCCTTTGTTTCGCGATCTGGTCCGCCTAAATCGGCAGCGGCACAGTTCTCGAGTAACGCGACTCCAAACCGCGTTTGGAAATTCCCTTCATTTCCAAAGTCTCCTTCTCGCGAATGCGTGGCCCACCCTTTTATCTATCAATTATCAATTCGACGAAAAAAAGAATTCCTCTTCCACCTTCCTTCCTTCCAGCCTTCGCGATGTGGAATTTTTGTCACGCGTGATTCGGAGGAATCGTTGACGCACGACATTTTCGGAACTATCACGTAACCGCGGTTTTCTTTTTCATTTTAATTAATTATCAAATTTGCAATTTTTAAGATATCGCGCGAGCAATTCTTGCCTAAGCTTATTTTAGATTTAATTTAATCGTAGAACGAACAAATTTTGCACTTTCTCGTAAAATTCCTATAATATCAAGACGTTAGAATTTGGAAATTCTATGTTCCAGAATATCTGGAAATTAAAATTTATAAATTTAAATCTAATCGATTGCATCTTAATTGCACCTTTGTCGTATTCGCAGATTCCTATTAGTTCTGAGTTTCATTTAAAAATCGTTACAAAAGATTCGTTCTAAAACATTGCCGTAAAATGTAGGACGCTTACATTATCAAATTATCGTCTTAAGGATGAACACGATGATCACTATCAGCATTTTGTCAGTAAACGATTACGGAATTACGAAGAATCGATTTCGTAACGTATTCTTCAATATCAATTGTACGCCACCATCTATCGTTCGAAATATTCGTTCGAAGTCTGCGTAAGCAATACACTACAATTGAAGCTGGTGCAAGTTTTATTAAAACGATTACAATATAACTGTATTATATTGAAGATTATTAAAGGCAAAATGCGTGTAAGTAAAATCGTCCATCGAATCAATCATCTTTCTGTCTCTAGATATGCTGAAATTAAAATTTGCAAACAAACGAAATAGGATATTTTGCGACGGGCGAGCAAGGTGAGAGGCTCGAATTCTACCAAGGTATCCCTCTTTCTCTCTCTCTCTCTCTCTTGTTTTTTATTTTAGACGCTATTTTTGCGCCGGGATATTATAACGGAATTCCATTGCATCTCGCGAGTCGCCGGAGCAAGACGAAATCGCCGACCGCCTACGTCACTGAACGTTGCCCCACGTTAACATTATATCGGATCGTACTACTTTTTAACAGCCTTGAATGATGGTTTTATGAAGCCCAATTGACAGTTTCCTCGTACGTTCGTTTTGGCCTCGATTTTTTTATCGCTACAATTTTTACAAGGTGTCACACGGCCGCGTTCGGGGCTCGCGTCGATCGGGGCCCCAAGTCGATATCTGATACGGGCTTCCGGAGAGTTATTCGAGTGTGAACGATCATTCCAAGTATCCTGCTACGTATCTTAAATTCAAAAGACGAGATTCGAAGCGTACTTTCTAAATCCTGAACTCTTTAAATCACAAATTCCCGATTTCAAATATTAGTTTACCGACTTCGGATTTCAAAACCTAAATCGTTCTCCGGACCGTAAATTCTAGGGAAAAGATTTAATCTTTGGAATCTAAAATAAAGCAAGACGTGATATATAAATACGCAATTATCTACGTATATAAATACGTAAATAGAAACAACCGACAAAAAAGGTGGATATAAATTCTAACTTTGGATTTTCTAAGCACAGTAATACTTTCTATATTTAAATTCTATACTTAATTTCTCTCGAACAAAGTGCAAATGCCAAAGTAGATATATTATGCATCACTTCACGCGTCGACCCTCTAAAGCTTCACCTTGATTGAAAACCGCGATTGAAAATATGTTGGAACTTACATGAACAAAATCGTATGGAAAAAAGATAAAAATACAAAAATTGTCCTCGGCAGTCAATCTTGTTCGATCCGTAAATAGGCAATACAGTTTCTTTGAATTAAGCGATCTTTTTACACGATTCGTATTATTTTTTATTCTACCTCGCAATATTTTTTATCTCCCTTATATACTTGATATATTTCAAATTCTATATAAATTACTGACATCTGAATTCTGCTAATCATTAGAAAAACAGCTGGTTTAAGGTAAATACGACGTAAAACTCGCGTTGCACGATTCCCTCGCACAAGTCTGATACTAGTTGAGGGTAACAATCAAACAGACAATGCTCTTTATATTATTCTCCGTAAAGCCGCTTCCCCCCCGCTTCCTCTCCCCCCCCCCCCCCACGCACCATTCGAACAGACGCTTTTATCTTCACGTTGACGCATCAGACACGTGTCCCTCTGGTACGACACGCCGGCCGAGAGATTACAAGCGTCGAATATCGAAAAAGCACTCGATTCGAGCGCAAAGATTTATGACTCATGCCCTTTTCGAGACGTATACCGTCCGGTCTCAGTGCTGCGCTGTCACAGCCCCTCTTAAAAGTCACCTCCAACTTTTCCGTGGCGTCCATCGATCGTTGCGCGTTTCAATGTAACCACGCGGTAAACTGTTACCTCACCTACCCGTTGTCAATGAATGAACGCCTCGATAATGTCCTCGCGTATCTGTAATTGGAATCCGCGAGAAAGAGAAAGAGAGAGAGAGAGATACAAATCGCAATTGTGGGCCGGAAATAGGAATTCGCTGAATGCGCGCGAGCTATGAAATGTATGTCGAAACCTAAAAAAAAGAGAGACAAAACCCTCGTCGCGGCCAGCGCGCGTCAAGAGCGTTACCCGACGTTTGCCAAACGTGTAATTCCCGCGGATCTGTCACGGTACAGTTCCACCGCGCGCGCCTTACGAATGATTATGCAATCCTAAATTCTCTCGCGATCGCAGAGGGAAAACCCGAGGGGGAAACCGCTGAGGGCATTGTGGTGTACAGATTTGCGGCATTACTGGGCATTACTAGGCATTTTTTGGGGCATTACGCCTTGCTGCGGCATTATATAAAGATAAAATACGATAAAACAAGATAAATACGATAAAATAAGATAAGAAGATAAAGTAATGCCCACTGGGCATCAGTAAACATTGGTGTACAAGATTTTGGTCAGCGGTTTCCCTCCCGGGGAGTAAACGTTCGCTCGCTTCTCATTTCCACCAGTTTCGGGATCTCGAGCCGCGATCACGCCGGAGATCTTTGGAAAGCCTTTGGGGGGAGGTCCAGGTTCCAACTGGCCGAGGTAACGTTTTTCGCAATAAATTTCTGGCCGAATAATATTACTTGTCCGTCATTTAACCACTGGCGAAGAAACTATCACTCATCTTTGGAAAACGTCTAGGGTGTCTGAAAGGCGAAGCGGGTCGGTCGTCCTTAACGTCGCTGATCCGGACGAGAAGAAAAAGCCCGAACCGAGGAGCTCAAGCGCAGGCCGCCTCGGCCACCGGTGCGCATAGTGGTCGGGCGAAGCGTGTGATGCATTGCTAAGTTATGTACACTTTCATCGGCGGTGATGTCATCCGTTTCCTCGCGCGTGTGAGCGCGCGTGTGTACGTGAGACGAGAGACTGCGTCCCGGCATAGCGCAAGGTCGCGCGGGGACCGGGCCAAGAGAGGCCGGGCATTATTTCGCCGCCCCGAGCAACCGAATTCTTCCCTTTCCCCCGTGCGTCGGATCCTATTGAACAAATGTACCGCTATTCGTGCGGGCTATTCACTCGTTCGTACAACTTCACGCTCGTTCCTTTCGTCGCGAATGCCTCGGGACCTTAGAACGAGTCGCCAGTCATATTGTCCGGTCGTTTTCCTCCTCGACCTGTACGAGGATTCTCGCTATCGGTCGTTTCCGGCATCGTTAACTACCGACAGCCAATGGCAAAGACGAGTCTTGACAAAAGCGCGGCTTTTATTGTTCGTCCGAGGGGCAAACCGCTGACCAAAACCATGTACACCAATGCCTAACTAATGCCCAGTGAGCATTATTTCATCTTGTTTTATCTTATTTTATCTCTATAATGCCCCAGCAGGATTTAATGTCCAAACTAATGCCAAAATACGCCTAGTAATGCCCAGTAATGCCCAGTAATGACGCAAATCTGTACACCGCAATGCCCTCAGCTGTTTACCCCCTCGAGTTTGCCGCTAATTGACGATACCGAAAACCATCGACAGCAAGTTACAGAATTCCCGTACCGATCGGTATCGCGGACGAAGAGAGGAAGAGAAACGTTTTTTTTTTTCGAAATCTTTGTCACTCCACGTACGTGAAGATCTACGAGCGGAAGTGCATCTTCGTCGCCCGGTTATCTTAATGTCACAATTCTTCCGATTGACCCAACCTGATATTTCGAGAAATACGTCCTGACGAAAAAAAAAGTCAATCGACCATGAGAGAATGTCACTTGTGTAAAGGCGCAGTTGCAGTCACGCGTACTCTAACTTTGCCAGAGTGTGAAGTGGAGATTATACATTGCGTACACGTGATCTCTCTCGCACACATACACACATATACACACATATTTATAAAGGCAGAGAGCCATATGATAGCCGCGGTAGTAACGTGCACTTCCGGCTTCCAGGTGAAAGAGAGGAGAGATAAAGCGGCAGAAAGAGATACGGGATACTCTTTCGAACACCTCCACGGCGCCGTTGATCTATAATTATCGACGGTATTTACCGGCGTGTCCTAAGTATGTCCGCGCCGCATATTGCATATATTGCGGAATCAAAGCTCGCGGGCCGACTGGTCGATAGCGGCACAGTTTTCCGCGCAACAACGCGCTGACGTCACCAATGGGCGCACGGATTTCATGAATGCAAATCTTGTTTACACGGAGCGACAGTTCTCGGATTTCACGGCATTTTTTTAAAATATAGCTCGTACCATTCGAGTCGCGTCCACGACAGACGGACCCTCGATCGAAAACTCTCTTTACGCCCAAGATCGATGAAAAAAACTTTATCAAATTGTCAATTCAAATTACAATAATCGCGCAGCCGAGATCCGAATGGAGCCGAGACGGGGTGCTCGGACGTCTCGCGTTACGTTATAAATAAAAGGCTTCTAAGTTTAGACACACGCGCGGTCGTGAGCATCGGTAAACGTAGGCCCGCGACAGATGCGACAATAATCGGGATGAGGCCCGCTTATCGCAACGCCCGGCGCGCGGCGGGAAGCGCCCGCGATTACGGGCACAATTTTCGTACTCACGACGGAAGAAGAGCGGCGGTGCCGAGCAACGCGTACACATCGGAAACGCACGTGCCCCCCAGCTCCTAGCCAGCGGAACGGACTAACGGGCAAGCAACCGGCAGCGGCAACAACGGGAAAAGACGAGCCTCGGTCTTGCGGCACCGGGCGCTCCCCGACTGGGCGACCGCGACCAATTTTTCCGCAAACTATTTCAAGGCTGCCGACGTATCCTCGGCGATTCGCCGCGCCGCGCCGGCAACGCGCCAGTATTCCGACATCGCGTTATATAATTACGAAAAACAAGAAAAACATTTTCCAGAATGTTAAATCGATTGTCGATTTAATCACGTACACGGAAAAAAACATTTAGCTGCTGTAGCTAAAACTTAGTAAAATATGGACACAACTAAAAATATTAGCTGTCCATATTTTACTAAGTTTTAGCTACAGCAGCTAAATGTTTTTTTCCGTGTATGCTATTCCGACATTTCAGCTTAATGCTGTGTTTCACGACGTAAAATTGCCGGCGTGCAGTTTGTTTGCTGAGAGAAAAGACGTGGAAATATAATTAATTAGGCACTCTAGTCCAACCTGCCCCTAAACGATTTCTATTATTTGTAATTCACATTTTTTTTAAATGACCGAATTGTATTGTCCACGTAAAAAAAACTCTTAAAAGAATAGGAGAATAAATAAGTGCAGCATTAACGAGTTTGTAAGTAACTTTACGAGTGTACGTATTAGGCTCGCAATAAAAGAGATCCGAAGAAAATATCCCGATTAATCAAGTCTCGCGTCGATTGAAACGTTACAGCTAATCAATCTACCTCCCCCTCTCTCCTTTGTGGCTCTTCTTGATAGCGCAAATCGCGTTATCGTGTAACCGAGGATCACGGAAATAGTTCGTCAGCGCGCATTCGTCATCGAGAGTAATTCGTAATGCGAGATGAGTCAGTCGGTCCGACGGCAATAGCGGTGTGTGTTAGACGAGAAGAAAGTGCTCAGGCTAAAAATACATTTGTTTGTGCCTAAACCTAACCGAGGTGCGACGCCCGATAGACCCGATATGGATACCTCTCATTCATCTTGTATAACGTGCGAGAGACCGGGTCTTTAACACGAATAGGTGGCCAACGGCGGATCCGCCAGACCCTCAAACGCCAGCTCGTTAGCTTCGCCTGATTCTTGAACCACTTTCATTTCCGAGCCTGTACCATTTATACCAACGAACTGAACTAAATAAATAGTATACATCGCTTGCTAGTTGGATCGTCTAATAATCCTCTCTATTTTGTACACTAATAAATTCAGTTTAATTGTAATGTATGTTATTTATCTCTGGATTCTCTTATTTTTGTGTTTTAATTATCGCGCTGTGAAGAAGACTCAGTTGAAATGTCCACGATGTTTCTTTTGCCACTGGACAATAAACTGTAGATTAATTTAAAGGTAACACGCTTTATTGCTCGCGTTTTGGCCTTCGACTCTTGTTTACATATAACAAGCGTGGCCTATTCATTATTTTATGTTATCTATAGTATATTACAGTTTATCAATATACTCGAATATTATGATCCATCACAAAATAATCATGTCAGCACAAATGCGTGTATTCTTAATCTACTCTCCATAGAGATCCAAGAATGCAGAAGCTGCCGCGACGACGTTCATTTTCGTAGATGGCTATTTCAAAAGAACGACTACGTAGAAGGAAGATCGTCTCCAATAAATCGTACGCCGATTCTGCAAAACTCCATTACTCGACGCGCTCCGAGTCGCGAGGCGTAAATATTAGTCATTAAAGAGCTCATTGTTGCAACGCCGCGCCGTGTGCACCGCGGCATCGCAATGTGTTGTGCGGCTCTTTAAACATTTATAAAATCATATTACGGTTCTGAATAACGCGCGCTCCGACTCGCGTGATAATCCACGCGAGATAAGAACACGAATGTTTTTCTCTCCCCCCCCCCCCGGCGTGTACTCTTCGCTGTTTCCAATTTAAAAAAAAACAACTCTAATTCTTCAAGTTTCCAGCGTTAAAATATCAAATTATATAATAAATCGACCTCGACTGGCAGAAAAATCCTTTATTCAGCAAAGAAAACCACGTTTCGGTCTCTGGTTTAAGCCCTTATCAAGTGGGATCTAGGGGAACAAACATTCAAATGGAATGTTTGCTCCCCTAGATCAACGCAGAGATATTAAGGCTCGATTTTTAATTGCGTACTATAATCGTGTGAAAGAATTTTGTAATTCTATAAAGACAATTTCGAATTGTGTTCGCGATTAAAAAATTGAAAATTTCAAATACCAATATCTTTTTCATTAGACTTCTGACCCGAGTATTTTAAGTATGAAAATGTTCTGTTATGCGGTCCGCAGCTTATCCTGGTGTTATTTTGTGCATAAAATCTGATAAAAAGATTTATCAGCGCAAAAACTCTATTCAAATGTGCCGGTAAAACAGAAAATGAAAACGCGGGCCTAAGTCGCAGATTTTTAAAAAACAAATGGCACCCGTTACTCACAAAATAGACAGGTTCAGTTACACGGACATCAATTTAATTGTACAATACATGCTATCGCTAATCAAGTTATTGTATATTGTTTACAAGTAATTACGATTATCACAAAATTCCTGTCACTCAAACGTATGAATTGTAATTGAAAACCCGAGGTAAGCAACAAGTCAATGAATTTCTGCCAGTCCCGGTCGAGCGATATTACTCGTCTGCAAATTATCGTTGACGCAGTGACCAAGAACGGAGCATTCGATAACTGAAATCACTCCGCGGTCGCTCCTACTCGTCTCCATCCTCGGCGCCGCGGGCGTCTTCCGAGTTTCTCAATTCAGTTTTCAGAGCCGTACGCGCGGCATAACCTCGGCGAGTCTTTACGACCCGGCTACGTCACGAGTAAGCCATCGGCGTATGCGTGTGTGAGCGGGACACCGGGACGCAAGCTGTACACACGTAATAGCAGTATCGCACTCTCTACTACACGCGCAAACACAACGAGATGCAACTCACTCCTCCTCGGCTGGTGCTCCTCCTCGGCAAGGTCGCGCGGGACAGCGTTGTCTCCGGCAAATACAAGCGAGTGACACTCGTATCCGGTGGACGTAGGGAGGCTTCTCGGCCGTCCGTTCGTTTCCCTCGCTTGCCCTCCCCCCTCCCCATCCCTGCCGAGCTCCCACGATCCGTTTATTCCGCGCTTTTCTTGTTATATGGCGAAAAATAAGAATCGCCTGACCGACCACGTCATTGTCATCGCGGCGCCTCGCGGGGCCGAGGGGGGTGGCGCCGCGAACGTGGAAATGTCGCGGCTGATACGAGCCCCGTCGACATCCGTCCATCTCTTTGATCGCCGATCCTCGAGGACCTCGAGTTCTCGCCGCGAAGAGGGAAAAAAGAAAAGACCGCGAGCGCGCGGAGTCGGGCAGATGTCTCGAGCCGGTCGCCATAGCGGCGCGCGATTGGCCGGGGATCCACCGGTCCGGCCAATCGGCTCGCGACCCGTTGAGAACGAGCCTTGAGGTCGACGGCTATCCTCTCTCTCTCT